CACTCTCCTCTCATTTCAGACCCCACACATGCGCGCATAGCTGTTCGCGCTTCCGACCAATGCAGGCGCCTTGTCTCACCCTTCTCACGGGCGGCCCCCATTCTCTCTGCTCTGCAGGACGCGAACCGAGAAGGCGCTAGATGGTCGACTTCAATGAGAGCGAGGGCGAGTCGGCTTTCTTGGTTGTGAGATCAACAAAGGGCGTCTGGTTCGCCAACCCCCACGTGTTCCATCGGAGCCTCGCAAAGGTGCCAATCAGCTTTTGTTTCGCGGAGGGGGCCCAGGTTCAGACCAAGGTCGGTGGCTACTTCGCTTCCAGTGCGGAGTATGAGGAGTGGTATCAGCGCCGCCGCGCGAGCCTGACGCTGCCGCCTTCGCTCGGAGCTGAGGTGCGCACTTTTACGCCAGGATCGGCATTGTCCCTGCGGTGTCCCCGTCTCCAAACATTTACGTTTCTCCCTCGCGCAGGCGTGCGGCGTCAAGAACAACGTCGTCGTGAAGAAGGAGGCCGCCACTGAGGAGGCCGCCTCCGTCGTCGCCGAGGTGTCCGCCACCGAGGAGGCGACCATCAAGTCCGCCGCCGGCGAGGTGTCCGCCGCCGCGGAGGAGTCCGCCGCCACCAAGTCCGCCGCCGCCGAGTCTCCCGCCGAGGCGGCCGCGCATTCTGCAAGCGGATCCGGCGCCCACAGCTGCTGACGCGCCTGTGTGCGTGTGCACAGGGCATCACCGAGTGGACGACCCCCTCAAAGTCGCGCCGCAACAACAAGCGCAACGAGCGCAAGGAGGCGTCCGCCCCGATCGACTGCGGCAACGGGTTCGGGGCCCTGCTCGGGTCGGGCGGCAACGAGGGCATTGTCGGTGGCAAGGCGGCGTCCAAGGCGACCCGCGGATCCACGCCGTCGGCCGCAAACTCGGTGCTAGCCGCCTGCACGTGCAGCTTCCGCCCCCTGCTCGCCGCTCACAGCCAGTCTCGCGCCCCTGTTCAGGGCGCGACGGTCAAGCCCAAGACCCCCAAGACGGTCAACAAGACGGTCGACCCCAAGACGACCACGACTTCCACGCCGAAGGGCTCCGTCTCCGCCTCCGGCTGGCTCTCGTGGCCCAAGCTCTGCTGGCCGAAGGTGCTCTGCATC